GCGAGCTTTGTTGACCCGAGATGCTACCCGCATTGATTTCGGAGTTTATGATTTGCCGAATCCTAGGTAACTCGTGAAGAACTGGAGGAACTGATCACCGATTTGGAGCCTCGTTTCATCCAGCCCATCACAGATGCTTTGGTTATGGCTGGTAAGACGATGGAACAGGTAAACTTCTTTTGCGTAATTTTATCTGTGTAGGATACGTAAGATTTCTAGATAGATCAGTTCGTATTGATGGGAGGTGGAACTCGAGTGCCAAAAATTCAAGAGGTGCTGAAAACTGTGCTAAATGGAAAGGTGGTTTTTTTTTCGCTTCAATTTTCATTACAGAAGAAAATGCTCTGATTTAGGAAATTGGACATTTTCTCAATACTGATGAGGCAATCGCTCTCGGAGCCGTGTATCAAGCCGCTGATCTTTCCAAATCATTTAGAGTCTTGCCGTTTGGTGTTAAAGAAATGGTGTTGTATCCGATCCAAGTCAGTCAACCGAACTCTGCTTTCACGTTTCGTACAGTATTGTTTTCCAGGTCGCTTTCAAAACAAAGTCTGAAGATGGGACCTACAAGGACGTTGCTCGTCAGATCTTCGGACATAAATCTTTCTACCCTACAAACAAGAAAATTATAACTTTCCAGTCTTACACTGACGATTTTGAGGTTTGGGTGTGACTGTGAAGATGTATATTTACTGATGTAACATAATTTTAGGTTGACCTTCGATACGGAGCTTTGGAGCATTTGAATGATGAACAGAAAAAGTTAGTCCGCGCTAAAAATCTCAGATTTGCCTAAATCCTCCTTTGCAGACAATTTGGATCAACAGAAGTGGCACAAATCTCTGTCAAAGGACTTGCACCAGCAATCGAAAATAATGGATCTTGTGCGGAGTGTGAAATCAAGGTAGGTACATCTTTCGATTTCTTTCGGGGACCTTGCCGAGTAATTTCAATGTCAGGGTGTGAAGACTACTTTCGGCGTTGATCTTTCCGGTATTGTTTATGTTACAAAGACGGATTTTGTAGTGGATCAGAAACCATCAGCAGAGGGTGAGTCACGGTGTTTTACTTGCTCTGCTTTTGTTTTTAGTGGATACAATATAAGCTTAGATTTCTTTCGTGATTGGCAGTTTTTAGAGTTGTCTGCATATGAGC